CAGGGTTCGGATCGTGTAGTAGCAGCCGATGAAGTGTTTGACGGGACGAACAAGCACTGGATAGTTGATCTTTACCTAGACGGTGCGTTCGCAGGCAAATTATGAGACGGAGCCAGCTGACGTCATTCAGACCTGAGCGATGATCTAAAGAAGCTTTTCGTCGAAGAGTATGAGTATCAGAAGGAGCCTGATGATGGCGAGTTTTACTGCAAGATTCGCGGATACCAAGGATATCATGGTGATGAGAATCCTTTCTTCGAAAGAATATGGCTAGGGAGGCTTTCCGCTCTATCGAAGAATCGTCGACATCTGCTGGATCAACTGTTTCGCCATAAGAAATACACCGACGCGTTCGACGCATTGTTAGCCATTCCTGCCCTCTTCTGCGGCTTTAGGCTTTCTGTGGTTCATCAGGTATTATGCATGAGATGTGAAGAGGTAATTAGAGCAGCAGCCCCTAACGACGAACTGGCCCGGGCTGACTGGAGGCAGCCCAATTTGCACTACTTGAAACACATACTCCAGGTCTGGACGGATGTATGCGGGGGCGACCCTCAGGCTATGCGGCTTGTTGATCGAGCAACGGTAGAACGACTGCAGGGGACAGCGCCAGGAGCGTTTAGTGCAGACCACGACGAGCTCCTGAGTGATCTGAAAAGCGGCCGTATCTTCGGAGACTTCGCCGAGCAGCAGCGGAACGAGATGTGGACTCGAATCTGCCACATCTCGAAACAACACTTGATACCGTCACTTTTCACCTTCTTTGAGGATCGAAAGTTCCTCAGTACTGCCGCGGATTGCATGAGGCGGCTGACAGGTGTCGACTCTAAAGTCACGATTCCGAGCCGTCTTGACGAGATGTTCCAAAATTCAGCCCAGCAGACTGCCCAATGCACGGTGCAGATGTCGCAAACGACATATGTGAATATCGAAGGAGATGCGGCGACCCGTTTTGACCTTGGGTGCCGGCAGTTATGGCTTGCTGCCTTTCGAGAGTTTCGGGAACTGCCGGCGGACGTCAAAAAGAAAGATATACTTGCAAAAGCTCGCAGAAGGGCAGATGAGACCACACTGTTCGAGTTCGCTTCTCTTGCGAGAGGAGTGGGTTTCGAGTCCAAAGAAATAAGCAACATCATGGCCGCATCTCCAGATGTTGAAGTCGCCAGACGTCTCCTCCTCACTGCGAGAAAGCCGGGGCATTATCAATACCCTAATCTTGAAAAATGCGTTCAGCAGGTAACGAAAATCTTCGCAACGGCCAAACTATTGCCTGCGCCCGAGATATCACACGACTATGGTTTGAGCGAACTGTGCACCGAGTAACCGGTCAGATGTGGCATTCCTCGCGACATCGACCACGCCCGTGATCGAACGAGATTGTTTCTGCCGGGCATACTGGCAGAGTTTGAGACCGGGCAAACGCGAGTCACATCATTCTTCATAAGAAGATCGGTCTACATATCGTATTTCGGTCTTCCTCTAAATGTAGCAAATCTGACGATGAACGAAAGAATGCCGTACCATTTCCCGTTGGGCGTAAACGGGGCCGACCGTGCTAGCACAGAGGTTGTCGGCTCTGAAACACATACGACTACGGCGGCACATGCGGATGCCCAACTCAGACTGAATCAGCTCAACGAGCTTACTCAGCTCGAGCAAGCCAAACTGGACCACCTGCAGCAGCTGGTCCAGGAGCAACAAAGCCGTTTGGACCAGCTTACTGAGAATATTGACCACATTGCAAATGAGCCAGACTCTGGGCAAAGTCGACTGCTTATTGAAGCGCCCGAGGGAAACGACCAACGTTCAACGGGTATGGAGCTTGTGCCGATCAACAACGACTGGGTTGTAGAGGCGCCATCGGCTGGAGACGCAGAAAGCCGGCGCTCTGAAGAAAGCGACTCCAGGCTCGCAAAACGACCTCGAGTAGTCACGAAATTTGATTTTGCTGGAGTCCAATTGGACGTTCCCTCGGACGAGGACAACGGTCGTGGAGACACATCATTGGATGAACCAATTGTGATTAAGATTTTTTCGCGAGATGACACTGGTCGGTGGGCTTTGAACAGGTGGATCCGCGTCACCACCTCAGATCCAACACCAGTCGAACGGACAGCAGCAAAGTACACGAGGAAGCGCTTCTGTCTATTCGATACAAGTTACAACAACCTGATTCCCAAAACATGCTTCGAGACGGTGAGGGCGAATGGAACATATACGATTCTCGCAGTTCATGTTTCCAAAATCAATGCAAAGGATGATGGTTGGAGGAAGTTAGACCCAAAGTTATTAGAATACAAATAGTTTGTGAGGCTTTGATAGTGGGAAAAGACAAGACCTGGATGTCTAGGGTGAATAAAGATTTCCTGAGGACGAAAGAGTTATTATGCTTGCTGGTCTAGGTTTGAATGCTCTGTCGCGTAAACCCCGCTTCTACATGCCGTCATTAAAGGCCCTCTCAACCGTGCTACGATGTACGGCGAGTCAGTTGTACGGCAAACGAGTCCCCAGATTTTGCTCACCTCAACGAGCGGTATGCGTAACCTGTTGTCAGATATGCTAGGTGTCTGCAGATGCGGCGATAGAGGGTAATAAGTGCTTTGTTTGCTGGTCTACTATCAAACAGGAAGACATATGACGCGGGGGACAAGTTTTACCCCACTCTTGCGTATTGAGCTGAATGAATGTGCACCCATGTTCATGTTTCATTCGCCTGGCTGGTAATCCAATTCTATCATATCGACCTTGCTTCCCAAATATCCTCGAACAAGCCTTCGTAAAGCATGCCTCACCTCCGACGACGACGATACTATGTGAATGAGGACAAGGACTGACACATCGGAGGTCTAACGTACCTAAGACTACCATGTCCCCCCTCCCCTTTTCGTTTTCCTGGACCTTTCGTATGTGTTTGCCTTCGACTTCTTCGCAAAAGATGGCGCTGAGGTCCGGAGTACCTTTGACGATTGTAGCCCGGGGACTTATGTCGTGACCACGAGAAATATGCTCGATGAATATAGATATTTTCAATATCTATTATGCGTGAGTCGGAAAACAACAAGCTCTGCGACGCAACCTACGTATCCGTCGTCCAATGTATCTTCCACAAGTGCACCGTCAAGTAGATCTTTAACAGCAACAGCCAGTTCTTGAGGTGTTAGCGAGACAGATTACGCAAGCCGGCAGCACCTTACCGATAGTCTCCAATTTCCACAGGAGGTGGATGCGTCGGGTACGGGCTTTGCGGCTGTTGAACTCGTAAATAAGCCTTTTTAAATACGGCAGCTGCGCTGCGATGCCGTAGCCACTGGCAACCATGAGGACAACATCATAGTCGGTGACTGGGATGCTCATGCCGTGGGGGCCACCGAAGGCGGCAGGGTAAGTCTGCTGGGCCTTCTGCAATTTGCTACACTGGAGGAGCTTCTGAGTCAATCCCGAGCGAGGCTCAACCAACAAGTGAATCGTGTCGACAGGTGAGGCGGACCATGATGCAACCACAAAAGGATGTGTTTGCCAGAGTGATCGGAGCCTCGCCGATGGCGTAAGTACCCACAGACTTATCGACTGTCCGGCGTCAACAATAATAGGGCGTGACAATCTCAGTTCGACAGTGACAACATCGCCGGAGTTGCTGATGGACGCCCGAGGAAAGCCATAGTACAAAAGTCCGTTGCGGTAGACAATCAGGCTTGATAGGAAAAGAAGGGACAGGGCAGATACGCCGATCAACACGTAGAGGAACAGGCGAGCAAAGGCCGGCTGCCGAGCCAGGTGCTCCCACATGCCGTAGATGGACAGGACTGCCATGCCATGATGGAGACGGATGAAGAGTTCGTAGTATCTGTCTCTGAAGGCTGGCAAGGAAAACAGCACAAGACCTCCAATCGCTGACGCCGCCTAGCATTTCGAGTCAACAGATCACTCGGAACATGGGCTTCAGAGTTTGGACGGCTTACCACAACCGCGCCTTTATTGTCAGGTGTACCCAAGGGGAATGACGTAGAAGACACCTGGGAAACTATCACGTGAGACGTGGCGAGCAAGGAAGCCATGATGCCCGTCAAGCCATGTAGACGGCGAACCACGCGCCATCGAAGACCCAGTAAACTCGTCAGCGAGTCAAGATGCCACACCGCAAATTGAAAAACCATGGAGATGAGAGCCAGATACGCCGCACGCCGTCCTGCATCGGCCAGTGAGGAGCATTGGAACCAGAGACAGAGAATGTTGAACGTCAGGTAAGCTGTCGGGACCAAGACGTCGGCCCAGCTCCATTCGCTATATATGGTCGGATAGACTAGATACCTGAGGATAGGAACACGCACAATAGAGATCAGTTGCGACAGCCGGGAGCGAAAACGCAGGCAGACGAAGAACAGAGAGAGGCTGAGAGCGGAGACTGCGTAAACAATAACGACGAGATGTTCTGAGTTTTGCATGTTCAACACGCGAGCGTTGTTTAAGGGAAGTTACTGTACATACTGGACGGCTATGCGCGTCAATTGAAATGCGTTAGCGAATGTCTTACAACTGCTCTCGGCTGCCCCCCACGCGCACATTACGGTGACAAGAGTGCGCTTTTGTCTCAGTCACGCTGCTATTGTGGTGGAAGCCGATACTGGATTACGTCTCAATTGTAGGCTCTATTGTGATAAGATACATATAACATAGTATACAGATTATACGATCGACATTTCTAGCTTCAGTCATTTTCAGCTGCGATACAACGAGCAACTATCAGCTTATCACATTCTGGCTCTACAACTTTGCTGAGAGCTTAGAGGCTCAACAGGCTCCTTTGCGTCTGACTATCTCGCTGCTCGAGAGAGCCTGTAGAAGCTCTAAGCTCTCAGTGAAAGTATCATATGCTTTGAACGGCAGACACTTCTGAACTACTTGCTGTGGCGCGCAACACCCCAAAAGTATATAAGCTGCGAAGTAACCGCGATCAACACCATGGCCTCGTTCCACTCTAACCATATCGTAGTTCATCAATCATGTCCACAGAAAACCAAGCTGTTCCGCAGAACCCAGTCCCTTCTTCCGACGCGAAAGGCACCGCAACGACTTTGCCTCTTCCGCCTCTTCTGTCACCTGAACCGACACCAGGCGTCGAAGATGGCAGGATCGAAGCTGACCGAAAGAGGGTAGCTGCTGCCACAGAGCAGGCCTCCAAAGTCCTCTCAGATACTCCGGACGGGGCAAATGGGAGCAAAGGCAGCGAGCCTCCTAACGAATCTAGCGCACGCCTCGAGGAGGTGATCGCGGAGAGTCGGCGGATTCTTGGCTGCTCTGATACTGCATATGCGGAGATTTTGGGAGTCGAAAAAGACTCCACAGCGAAACAAAAGGAAGCCGCATGGAAACGCTTAGGGTGTCTGCTGCACAAAAATGTCACTGAGCATCCGGATGCTGCGAAAGCTTTTGCAAGTAAGACTGACTTACGTCTCCCTGCTAGTCAGATGCTGACATAACGTTAAGAACTTCAGGGCGCGGCAGACCAGCTGGAGGTAAGCGATGTTACTATAGAAGACGTGGTCGACTGGAACGGCAAAGGGGAACTTCCCGATTATGATAAAGACGATGGAGACATTCCAATGGAAGATGTCGTGCCCAACCCGCCGGAATTTATCACGAAGATTTACAATGAAGCAACCAATTCGCTTCGTGACCTCAGGCGCGATGATACCCGCCAAGTTGCGGAGAAATATTTAAATAGTCGCAACCAATTGATCAAGGACTATAACGTAGCACAGAAGGCAGCGTTGGGCGTCCGTGGGACCGAAATTTCCACGGACCGCTGGTGCATCCCTCTGGGATTTTTCACCACCCATTACAGCCTAGTCTACGAGAACCAAAGGATACTTGAAGGCGACCGATCGAACCAGTCAGCCCGGGACGCTATTGCGAAGACAAAGACATTGATTGACACAAAGATTGATCAAAACCACTTTCCGGGAAATTGGACAGTAATGACGGCAGACGCGTACTTGCAAGAATTCGACGAGTACTTGAAAGTAGTCGACAAGACATCTGCGCTTGCCGCTGCGCCTGTTGAAGCCGGAAAACCTGCTGAGGTCCAGGCCGTCATCGACTACCCGTGGACCACCGCCGAGGCGGCCGACGGCTCTCTCATCATAGGCACGCGACAGCAGGGGCGATTCGGGACCCGAGTGTGTGTTGAGACGCGAGAAGAAGACGGAAGAGTCATCCGACGTCTCCAATCGGCTTCGGAAACTGGGCTCTCGGAGGTCGAAAAGTACCGTAAAATGACTGGCGCGAAAGATCTGGCGGAAGGCCAGTCTCAGTGGTCCTGCGACGATCGCGACGATTTCAAACAGCTGCTTTGGGTCACCAAGTCGCACACAAAGTGCAAGAATACAGCTGCTGGAAAAAAAAACCCATCCGCGGATTGCTGCGTTAAGTTCGGCTCCAAGGGCATTCAGATCCTTACCGTCAGTAGCCTTAGCAAGGTCCTCGGTTCTTCAAGCGCGAGAGCCATGATCGAGGACGTCTGTAGCAGAGACAACATCTCCCCGCCGTGGAAAGCTGGAAATATCAGCGAGTATCACGATCCCTCGAGGCTGGAGAAAGACCCGGTTCGTCGCAGGCACCTGCAGGAGACGCAGGCAGCTTCAGCAACCGACAAACACCCGGAACAGCGAAAGCAGGGCATGGATGAAGCTATGGGCAAAGGTCAAGGTGCCCTCGAACCACTAAAGGGCAGAGTTCAAGGTCTCGAAAAGGGAATGGAAGAGATGAAAAACATGGTGGCGATCTTGAATGACAATATGGAGGCGCTGATGAAGATGTTGAAGGAGTCTTCTTCGGAGGCGAAATAAGATTGGTCAGAGTTTCTGGAGGTCGAATTATTTTGGAATGGTTTGTTTGGACCCACTTATGCTTTCTCTTGCTTCCTCGTCATGTTGTATAGACAGATAAGCCCGAGTTGGATTAGCTCCTCTTTACGAAGAACGACTATTTGCTACTCCTAAACGTTATCTGTTGCTATCTCAGCATCCGACGGTTGTCAGGCGAGGACTGAATCTGAATTGGTTCTGATCCGTTGCTCACTTCCCCATGGTCGCATGACTTGTTCCATCAATCTTGCATTTGGTTTGATTCCGTGAGTATTGATATAACAAAACATTTATAGAGTTTGGGATATACGTTTAACTAGGGCTCACAGAAGCACAGGCATAGGTGACGACAAGAACAGGGTATTACAGGACACATCGAAAATGAGAGTAACTAGTTTCTAGAGGGGACATTGCAAGAATGAAAAAGCAACACGTGTTGAAACCTTTAACATCAACTCAAACGCCGTAATGAACATAGGGAACCCATGTCGGTGTGCTTTGCGCTGTATCCGTGATCAAAACCACATCCCGTGTCTGCTTCAGGCCCGAGCCTTCCACCTTGGTGACCCATTCATCTCGTAGCCTTCTCATAGCATGATGGAGCCCGTAAGCTACTGACCTATCGCTGAACTGCTCCTCACCCATAAACTCATACGTTATCCTTGCTATATCCACACACAACGCGTCGTCGACTTCCCAAAGCGTGCCTATCACATGCCGGAACCCCGCCAGCTGGAACGCGCTCGTGAGGTGGATGCTCTCATCAACAGACTTATCGTCCAAGATCTGGCCTGTGCCACAGGCTGAGAGGTAGGCAAGAAACGGTGAAGTGGAGCGAAGGTTGGTTTTGTCGAGAAGGTTCCCGACAGAGAGTGGGTTATGCTCCCAGTCCTTAAGAAGTAAGCAGCTCTGCAGCGGATCTGTTGGATGTGTGCTGCCATGTCCAGCGAAATGAAAGATTCGACAGCTATTCAGGTCGTCGAGGACTGGTTTTTGGTAGGGTTGCGGTTGACGATATGGCACCCCTATTAAGGTACAGATACCCCGCACTCTGTCCACCTCTTTGGCGGCGTGATAGAGATCGCTCTGTGATGGTGTCTCTGGCATGGCCACCAGCACGACTTGCAGGTCCTGATTTGCTGTTGGCTTTTGGGGCTGTTGGCAGGTGTTAATGATCGACTTGACAGATGATGCGTATGATGAAACAACTCGATCGAGTACTGTTTCTGAGTGGCCCTGGAGATGATGTCCAGCTGCGTGGAGTGGAAACCTAACGAGCGGCCCTGTGGGAATCCACCATACATGGGGCCAAGAGTCGTCATTTGGTGGAGTTTTGGTAAAGCCTAAAGCGTCCAGCACAGGATTAGCCACAACCGTCCAGAGCCAGCTCAGAGTTTCAAGAGACTTGAATTGGCCAGCTTTAGCAAAAATGTCTTCGCGGGTAAGTTGGTGTAACTGTAAAACCTGAACTCCGGCCTGCTTGATGATCAAAGCATCGCAGCGGTGACGACTAACGTTAATAATAACAATAGGGCCCTGGGCTGCGGCCTCCCGCATCTGGGTCTCCGTTGCGGCTATGAGAAACGTCTCGAAATCAGGCTGGTGGCGGATGTTGCTAAGAAGGGCCGTCATCTGGCTGCTTGCCTGGTGGCGTTGATCAGCTATGGCGGAAGACGATGCGGAAGGCGTTGTAACTGGCGAAGTGATATCAGCAGAACGAGTTGATACTGGTGCGTCGAGTAGGTCACGGAGGTCGACAAATGATTTAGCTAGATTCGGGTGCTCTTTCTCCAGTGACGAAAGGTCGGTGCGGATGTCCTGCAGCGAACTCGCAATCACACCGCGGCCGGTTTCAAGAAGCTCGATGGCAGGTAGAGGGCCTTGGCCAACGTGGAGGGCGACTGCAGCAGCATCGGAGGCCAGCCCAACAGCCTGTGATAGAAGGTGTTGCTTGTCGGCGGATTGCAGGGAAAAAGGGGCGGAAAGGGGTACTAGGCTGATGGCTGTCTGGGCAATGTGATATGCCTCAAGACCGTCCTGTAGAGTGGCTTGATGGGAAAGTAGACTCCTGCCAGCATGTATGCGGGTCCTGATTATAGCACCCTCAGAATTCAAGGCAGTGGCGTAGACTTTTTGGGATTCTCTTAAATCCTCCATCACGCCAGTGCGGGAGTATCTGTTGCCAAGTATGACTCCAAGGTTGTTTAACAACCCAGCCCGGTCGGGACGGTCTTCTGGAGTGGCCTCAACAGCTTGTCTCACAATGCGAATGGCCTCTTCGAGATCCGCCATCGCGCCAGTGCGGGAGTATCTGACGCCAAGTCTGGCTCCAAGGTTGTTTAACCACCTAGTCCGGTCGGGACGGTCTTCTGGAGTGGCCTTAACAGCTTGTCTAGCGATGCGAATGGCCTCTTCGAGATCCTCCATCGCGCCAGTGCGGGAGTATCTGTCGCCAAGTCTGACTCCAAGGTTGTTTAACCGCCCAGCCCGGTCAGGATGGTCTTGTGGAGTGGCCTGAACAGCTTCTCTAGCGATGCGGATAGCCTCT